GGAAAAACTATCTAAAATCAATAATATGTATTAAACACTTTTATGTTAATATTAACTTTCTTCTAGTGACCATAGTGTTATAAATTTCATTAGCTCACATAAAAATATTCATATGATTTCAGCACCATCTTTTGTCATGTTCTATACAACACCAATCTGTTGCCTCAAATAAAAACGACTGTTTACATTATGTAATAAAGTTTCTTATTTTTTATACAGAGGGCAGCATTGAAAGAATTCCTCATTTTAATTGATTCTCCTTGATGGCGCTATACGTCAACTAATAGTTTTGATGATATTTGTTAGATGGCGCTTTAAATAATATATATAAAAAATTAAAATAGAGTAATTTTCCTTTTGGAAATATAATAATTATAAACAAATATAAACATTGCGTAATTATTTTTTAACTAAATAAAAATACTTTAAAAAGAGTCATCTTAATTACGAGTCTTAATTCACTGTTCAGGATATTATTTATTCTACTCGATACTAGATGGCATTAGCTGTTTTAAATTAGTTTTTCAGTTAGAATTTTGCTTCATTTTCTTATTGGAATAAAAATGTGATCATTTCCAATATTTGTCTATTCTTTATGTTAACCAGAATATTTTGATTAATATAAAGTATGCCTGTATATCGTAAAGTGGTTAATGTAATTTTATAAAGAAACAAGTAAGTATGCGGGGGATTAAAGAAAAACGCACATATGAATCATTCTTTTTATTTTTTAAAATAATTATAGCTAACCGTTTCGGCAATAATAGTTACTATCTCAGTTAATGACACAATAAGCATTTACCGTTGTTAAAATTATTTCATTTATTTCACAATAAAAATTAATGGGTTAATTAGATTTGTTCAATAAAATAAATGTAAATTAAAAATTATCACTTACCATAAATCAACACTAAACTATCAATAATTACATAGCAGTTCGTATGATGACTACACATCCAGTACAAATAAAAAAATATAACTTTTATAAAAATATAATAATAATATTTAATAATAAACACATTCCTGTTTATGCTAAAAAAAATAATTAGTTGAAAACATGGCATCGTTTATTACAATTAAATATAAATTGCTAAATTAAAAATAACGTAAATAATAACTCTATACAATATAAAATAAAGTAATAAAAACAATTTGTATTTATTATCAATTGCGGCGTGAACACTCGCGTTTTACGAAACCGTCTATTTTTATTTACAGAATCAGTCATCAATTTGTCCCGTCTGATTATTGTTGCGAGGGATTTAAATCATTTCCTTTTTCTACTCCTGAACATTTAAGATAAAAAAAAAGAAAAGAAAACTAAAACATTTTCCCAAATATGTTCATCCCTCCACACAATATCGCTTGTGACGAATTGATAAACAATCCCATTTTAGAAATTCAACATATATGTTTATTTTGCCTAAACATCGATTAGGTACATAATTATAACGCCACATCACATTCCTAAAACATTATTTACATTCATTTTTGTTTACTTTTTTTTAAATACACCATGCCAAACACGAATTTTGACTTGTTCACTAGAAGTTAACTTTATTCTAATGCCACTAAAACTTATACGGAATTTTACAATTTTTTACCTTTATACGCCGAAATAGGTATATTTTCGAATTTTACATTGTCCATTATCAACGTTCAAATTTACAATTTATGTAACGTACTCATACATACCTATCGATTATGGTAATTTTTTTTTGCAATTTTTGCAAACTTTATATATATATATATATTAACAAAATCATACACATTGGGCTGATAAGTCAAAATTGACGTAAATAAGACTAGAAATACACCAATTAATTAAAGATGCTATTTGAGAAATAGAAAATATAACAAATTTTGCAAAAAAAAAGTAAGGCAAATCAATTTTCCATAGTAAATGCCTTATGTGACATTACGGAGGCTAGGCGTATAATAATAACATAGACAAAAAGTTTCAATGCGCTGCTAGCCTTTTTGGGAAACATCAAATTTTCGTTTTTTATTATCAAATTACATTACATTTTCGTTACCCTGATATTAATTACTTCAAAAGTGTAACTTAATATTACTTTTTGCAATTTTATTACAAAATTAATATTTTTTCGTATCGTGTTTAATTTTTTCCTGAACTTGTTTCTTTTTTTACTGTAAAAAATATTCTTGTGTAAAAATGGAAACGACGCATTTAATTAGGTAGTGGAAATATATATTTCCATTAGGCATACACCGATAATAATAGAATCCATTATCTATGACATTTAATAGTACGAGTAAGTACACGGATTTTTTTTTTGTATTTATTTGTTTTATTTCGTTGTTTACTACTTTTATAACACAGAACAAACATTGGAATGATCGAAAGCATGTATGGTCTGCGTTATACGACGACCCATTCATAAAAATTAGCAATATTTTTTTTTTTTTTTTTAACAGCTTACTTTGTTTTTATAAATGAGTCCTGAATTACATTACATTTAATACTAACTTACGGTAAGATACATGAAATAGCTACTATGTGAGTTATAATTGAAAACCTGGCTATCCTGTCTATACTTAATTATTACGAATATAAACATGTATATTTGTCTAAATATATCGTAAAACAAGCTGAAATACAAACAACGCAAACGACAAAGCGCCCAAAAAGAAAAACTTGAACGATCAATAAGGATGTTTAATTCAAATCAACAGCAAGTCATTTTAAAAACTTAACAATAAACATGTTATGAGTCGTGCGCAATAGATTTGTAAACGGAAACATTTTTTGTTTCGTATTTTTAAATAAATTAATTGTGTAGTAGGTAGTTACACATTTTTTGCAATTTTACAATTTCAATGCACATGCATCATAACATCTTTTTAACTTCTCAAAAAAATTAATTAAAAAATGTAATGTAATCGCCTAGTTGATTTTTGCGATGTTCTCCGTCATTATTTTTATAATGCAAATAATTGACACTGACGTTTGTTTAATGCTTGAACGACCTTTCATAACCGTACAAGCGTAACACGTATTTAAAAACGTTATACAACGAATTGATCTAACAACATAACTATCAATTAACAAAAAATATTTAACTGTAAACATGAAATCGCCAATTAAACTACAATTATTTATTTATTGCGTCAAATCCATTTTTCTACGAGAATATAGCTAACAGCGCATCTGTTAAACAGTAAATGTGATGTAGTTAACTAGTTAGGTACCACATTGTTGTAATGTTGATATATTCAACTGAATCCAGATCTATTGTTACTAAAAAACTAAGTTAAAGAATAATCCTTTAACTTAGCCCTAGAACGATGAGCAATATCGCCACTTTAATGTTTATTTAGGCTTTATCATTACTTTTAATGTACACAGCTTAACTACAGATTTTTTTTTCTTTTGTAAAATAAATGTAGAAAAATTTTTATTACTTTGTTTTGTTTTTAACATTAAAAAATGTATCCGTCGACAACTTAAAAGTAAACTCTGTCAACTTGCAGACACGATCTGTTTTAATAACTATTCCTTTTTCGATGATCACAGAAAATACAATAGGGCCCATATCTTTTTGCGACATAACCGTGAGGCTATTATTTATCTATGTATAATTATTGTTTTATTTTTGTCGTATATTCAAAAGCTTTTCATTTTTAAATTTCTGATCTCGAAAATACAACGGCAATATTTTTGTTTCTTTTTTACAAATATGTTTTTTTTTTTTACACGATAATTATTATGTCGCACAAAAATGTGAACAATATATACCACTTGAACACTTTCTTGGAAACGTAACTTTTGATCTAAAAATCTAATGTTAGGATTCACGATCCGTGCTTTTTTTTGTACAACTCGACGACACTCGAGTTCAGTTCCCTAACACGATGATTTTATTAATTATAACTTTAAAAATACCAAACGTCCATAAATTTTTTTCCTTCTACTAAGACCTAAATTTAAAACAATACCATTTATACAATATTCATAGGAACTTCTTTTGTTGTTACATTAAATTTATTTATATATTAAATTTATGAGGACATTTTTACATTAATAGCGATCCGTTCACTTTGAATTTTTCTGTTGTGTTTATTCGAAAAAACTTCTTTTTCTTCTTCTTCTTCTTCTTCTTCATCTTCTTTTAATATAATTATTTTATTTCAGTCAAAATTCCAAGAGATTACACGTTTCCTAGAAAACATAATCATTGTCGAGTATCCTTCACGTATCGGTGGAACAAACCAGTGCTCTCCAAATAATAAATGAATAACACGCCGAAATGTTTTGTGTGTTTATAAATAAAATATATAATACATTGAAAGGAAAAATTAAATAATACACTCCCATCCACAACCAAATATCACGATACAAATTATAGCGAATTTTTGGGCTATTGCATTGTGTTTTTTTTTTTCAATTTTTTATCCATTAAATCGGCACAACGCGACAGTGGACTTACGAATCGCGAACGATTCGTAACTCACTGTACGCACTCGCACCGATATTAATTCAAGAATCAAATAATTACGTACATTAAAATCAGCTTAGTATACCTTACCTATTTTACGATTACACGTACAATATTACAATTCATGTGTACTATAATGATTATTGAATCGATACAGTACACATAAATTGTCACTTATTTATAATACATGATGATAATATTAAAAGAATTATTATTCGGCAACACTTGACATTCTCTTATAATTAAATTGTAAAATGATCCCGTTTTGCAAAAAAAAAAAAAAAATTAAGGATCATTTTGCAATTTACAGTAATCTATATAAAACTATTGCAATGGCAACTGCCGGCATTTTAGATGCCTAATGATTTTGTTGTTAGATTTATTTATATGAAGCGGAATGCTTCATTTGTTGATCATATAAAATGATTCACTGGGCTATTGTGGTTCATTTAAAAGCTTGTTTGTGTGAAATGAAAAAAAAAAGTAAATCGAAATATATTCGGGCTTTGTGTCGATGTCCGTGTTCTTGAAAAGAATGCCTTGTGTTTTTTTTTTTTTTAGTCTATTCAATGTGATTGTTGTCGAAGACTCTTTTTTGTTTATGTTCAGTTGTAACTTCGACTTTCGTTCATATAGTTGTCCTGTTTCGGTCGTTTACTATTTGTGCAGTGAAAAATCGCTATTTATTTATCCATGTATACAATGTTTATTATCGATTATTTATTTACAGAAAAGAAAAAACAAAGGTAAGTAACGGCAGTCTTCTGAAATAAAAATTATATTCCAATTTTTTTTTTAATTATATATGTACACCTATACAAATGATTTGTAAATAATTATATTCTCGTTAAAAATTATAGCGTCATAATAAAAATAAAATGTTTATTTTCGTATGAACAAAAGCATCAACATTACGTAATTTCTACGTATGTACATTATTATTAGCTAATATGGCATTTATAATAAAAATAAAACTTTACGCCGAATGAAGATTAATAGAGAATTTATTGAAATAAAAACAAAAAATAATAATAATAATATTTAAAAATAAATTTTAATTTTTTCTTTTTCTCTAAATAGAATATGTTTGTGCGTTCAAAACGTGACTAGCATAAGACGTGTTATTGCGTGAAAAGTTAAAGTAAAAACAAATATAATTAATTATATTGCAATAGAATATATCCTATAGAAACTTAATATGCAAACTAAATATTGCAAAGTCTCGCTAAATGCGACAAATAGTGCTTAAACCAGTTTGGCACATCCAAAAGTTTGTACTAAACTAAGAGATACAATGCTCTGCATATAAAGCTAATAAAAAATAAATATTTCACTTTAATAATAATAATAATAATATAACACTCATTAATAACCAAACAAATAATTAATGAAGATTGCACTGTATATTATTTGTCGTATGTGTCTACATCTAATTACTTGTTCGGGCGAGTTTTTGTTCCATTATTTCATATTCATTCAACTATTTTAATTTCTCATTCATAGTATATATTTACAAGAGATTTTGTCTCGGCTAATCCATTCTTATTTACAACAGTTAGGTCTATCTACGAATGTAGTTTTATTAATTTATCTTTAACGTATTTGTGGCTAATAAAAAAAACGTATATCGAGTCCCGAGTTCAAAGTAAATAATTACCAATCAGAGGCGATTTCCCGTTCACGCTCCGTTGTAACGAAAAGTGAATTTTGTCCCAAAAAATATGAAATACTACGTTTCTATTAAACTAGATTGTTTTTTTTTTTTTACGGTTGTTTTTTCTACCGAAATCGCGTCGGATTAGTAATAGCTGAATTTTCATGGCTGAGGGTTTTGTTGGAGATGGACAGCTTGTTGCGCCGCTTGTTGCGCTGCTTGTTGTGCTGCTTGTTGCATGTGTTGCTGTTGAGCCGCTTGCGCTGCGGCTTGTTGAGCTGCTTGTGCCGCTTGTGCCGCCTGAGCAGCCTGCTGGGCCACTTGCTGAGCCGCCTGCTGAGCGGCCTGTTGAGCAGCCGCCGCCTGCTGTGCCGCAACAGCCTGCTGCGCGGCCTGTTGTGCCGCTTGTTGTGCAGGCGATGGCAGATTGAAACCCAACATTCTCGGATCGTGCAATCTCAACGCTTGCTCCAATCTCTGTTCCTGCGCAATTCTAAATGCTTCAACTAATTCTGGACTTAACTGCCCACTCGCATCGTTAGGCGGTTGTGGGGGGAAGCCTCCGTTGTGCCTTAACGGACTAGGCGCTTCGTTGCCGTGTGCCGCTGCGGCTGCTTGTGAAACCGCTAATCGTAATGCTTCTGCCTGACTTCGCAGCAACGCTTCTGCTTGCTGGATCCGCAACGCCGCTTCGGTCGGTGCTGGAGGTGTCTCCGCTGGAGGCTGTGCTGGCGGTGGTTCTCTTGCTAGCTGCTGTCGCATCGCTGATACTAGATTAGCAGCAGCGACTTGTACAGCGTTAGCGCCTTCTCCTGGTTGTGCCATCATGTTCGCTGCCGCTGCTGCAATCGCGGCGACTCTCTCGTCACCGTATGCTTGATGTCCGTTGTTTGCTGATCGCAATAGATCTGTCAGCTTGTTGACGGCAGCACCAGCTTCTGAGCCCGCTGAGGAGGATAGCCGGCCGTTTGAGGAGGAGTCGGAGTGTGCTGGGGAAGGCGGAGCTAAGTTGAGAAGGCCAGAGCCTCCGGCGGAGGCTGATACGGCAGCAAGGAGATCTCTTTCCCTCCTCTCTGCTGCCGCTCGGGAGAGGACGTACTGAGCAGCGAACTGATGTTTTGGTTCCATTCTCATATGCTCCATGTGGGAAAGAAGACCTGAAAATTTACGTTTTATATTTAAACTTCAAAAAGAAATCGAACAGTTTATTTAGAATACTATATGTAGTTGTTAAATGTATGATTTTTTTTAATAAAATTAGTAAAATTAGTGTTAACATTTTTGATGTACATTTTTTTCAATATATTCAAGCTCTAAACTCTAAATTATATGGAAATATGTAAAAAATTAAGATAGTAGGTTATTGCGAACTACCTGTCAGGGATATCAGAAAATTACAAAAAATTACGTATGTATATTATAATCATTACGTCATTTTACTATATAATGTACTCTATTCATAGTAACATGACAAATCTTTTTTTTATAGGTATTTATATAAGTAGTTAGTAGGTATATGGATATTGGGTATTTTTTTTATTTTTCTTTCGAACTTTGGTTATTATTTGTGGTCAGCTCTCGCTACTTTTAGTTTTGCTTTAGCCTAGTTATTTATTTCTGATTTGCCTATTCTAGCAACGGACAAAATGATTATGATGATAAAATTTGTCAAAATATTGTACTTACCACTTTCATGGGTGAACACAGCTTGACACACCGAGCACGGCCACATTCTGAGACTGCTGGTGAGCTGCGTCTCCGGGTGACATGCGAGGTGCTTCCTTAGGGAACCTTCATTCACATAATGCTTCCCACATACAGGACAAGGGTGGTTCGCCGTCCGCCGCTTCGCTATATAAGGATCAGTTGGTTTAGCTTGTGCTGGGTACGGTGAAGTGGCGGGTGGACCTGCGCCATCATCACCAGGATCAGGATAGGTTAGTGGGTTAGAGGGGGGAAAGAAAAAAAGACCAGGTTAGTTCATTTGTTAGTGTCATCACGTGGAAACGACTTTTGCTCATCTTCTCTGCTGTCTTTGGGCATGATATGTGAAGTGTCACATTCAACAAAAGTCGTTTCGTTCTTTATACAAAGTAATTTTAACGAAAATAATATAACGCAAAATATTAAATATGAAATAATAAAAACATTCGAACTTAAAGTGGATAGACCAAAACATAAATCAATTAGCGGAACAGAAATGGCAACAAAACGAAGTTGACGTTAGAAAACCGAGGAAAATGTAGCTATTAGATACATAAACAAAACATGTTATGATAATACAGTTGGAACTCCATCCTAAGAATCTGTTGTGGTCGGGACAAGCAAGAAATGTTTTCAAAACACTTTACCCTAGCAATAACGCCGAAACAATAACAGATATACCTTAGATGGAGTTGCAGCCAGTTTATTTATTATATTACTAATATTTTATGGAAACGATACGTTTTTGTTTTACCGTTGGATCTAAAGAAACCAACACCCCTCATGGCTTTGTGCCAGCTGGAAGCTTTTGCTACGGAAAATGTTTGATTGCAAAATGTTTTGCAGTTACTATAACTATTATTTAACTGAGACCGGCAATTTTAAAGTACAAACTTCCAGTGACAAACCTTATAAACTAACAAATCTCGTCTGCTGGGGCGTTCAAATTACTGTTTTAAATATTAACAATAAAATATTATTAGAAAAAGGAACGGCCTCTGCAAAAGAGATACTACACTAGCACTTAACTTACATTTAGAGAAAAAAGAAAGTCACCCAGAGACAACGTTCTTTTTTGGAACGCTGTTTAAATTCAATTTAAAAACCGAACGGCCGCATTCGGGAAACTTACTCGCAACACCGGATGCGTTAGGATCTTTATGTGTATTCTTCATATGCTCTACGAGCGCTTCGCCACCGAATACAACTTTGTGGCATATTGGGCATGTGGTTGCGGTTGCACCACCAATCATGAGTGCCGCATGTTGCTGCAAAACACCAAGGTGCAGCTGAAGCTCCTGTTCCACCGTGGCGAGGTGGCGATGCGGGCATAGCATTCAAAGATTAGGATCAATACAATAAAATATTATACACAAATAAAAAACAACATGTCGAGAAGGAATTTAGAAATTATAAAAACAGCCAAAATGTTAATTTAGATTAAAATGTTTTTTAAATAAAATTTCAATAATAAATGCCAAATGGAATTTCGATAATCAGAAGGATAATTAGCCAAATTACAATTTTGGTGATACTCGTAAAAATAAATTATAAAACAGAAGAGAATGCATTGATATTAGTCAAATGGTAACACGTCATCGAATAGTGCATTTACATTTACAGAATTATATTTTACATAAATTTACTAAGAGAATATCTATAACAAATTTTATATTTCTTTTTTATAATGATAAATATGAAAATATAGAATAAGTACATTTAAAAATTGTTAATTATTTAAAAATGAAATTAAAATTTCAATTTGATTATATGATCATGAATAAAAAAAACATAGACAAATTACGTTAGATACTGACCTTCGCCGTATGTGTTCTAAGACTGCTTTCGGTGGCAAACCCTTTTCCACATATATTGCAATGGAAAGGTCTGTTTTTGGCGCGTTCCACTTGAGCGTCATGATTTCTGAGGTGTTGCTGCAGGTTGGACAGTTGGATAAAGGCACGCCCGCAATCAGGAAGGTGGCATTTGTAGGGACGTTCGCCTGAAAAAGAAGAGAAAAAAAGTTATGTTTTTGTTACATATATTTGTTGTTTATTAAATTTGGTTTCATAGATTTTAATTGTATTACTATTGTATATTTTTTACAACTTGTTGTTGAGGTGTTATTAATAGGTACCTTATTATTAATTGGATATATTTTAAATTACTTCAAAAACTAAATATACATTTAAATACAAATAAAATTAAATTTGGAGTAAAATTATGTAAATAATGAAATTATATATTTATTAATAATTACTTAATATAAAATGACAAGTTAATTTCTTGATTTCAACATAGATATTTGAATTCGAGGAGGTCATTTCACTTAAACAAATAATTTTTTTATCATGTAATATATTATAGACAATGTTAATTTTATTAGTAAAATGTCAATGTGTCATTTTTCTTAAACAATTTTTTCTTAAATAGTAGTTTTATTCTCTATTAAAAACATAAATAATTTTATTATGTAATTAGAATACATATTGCACAAAAAATATTATGTTAATATAAGGACCACCCAAACAGTATTCGAATGAAGCATAACTGCAATTATAAGTATTTATGGAGACAAGCTTAAAAAGGCCGCAATTTATATACGGAAGGAATTCTTAATGCAATAGATACTAGCCGGACATCTGAAGAAAACTAGTTGTGCAATTCTTAAGGCAACATTCCTGCGCTATCTTTTCGGAATTGTTAAGTATTTATTTATAGAGCCATTCATTCAGTAATCAGGCCAAATGATTATTTTTAATCGTTCTATATTCAAAATTATTTGTATCATCAATGTAGCTACAAATTCCTTCTTCCTTATTTAGAAATTCGTATCGTCCGAGTCGATTAGTTCATAATTCGAACACGTAAATACAACGGCAACCCAAAAGGTTACACAATCGAACGGTAAGAACCAGTTTTGGTGCAAACTGAATAAAACAAACGCGTTCGCGCCAAAAACCGCGACCTAGCCCAACGCGCGAAAGAAACCGATGACCGGCGTTCCATTTTTAAAATAAGACCATAATAAAACGAACGCATACTTTTAGCCTGTACTACTGCAAGCAAATGCACAGGTCATTGACTGAGCGCACTCACACACACAAGGGCTCACACAGCAAACATTTTATAATGTGCACAGTAATACTGGGTATCTTTTCTACATAGTCCTTCGATGTATGAGTGTTCGTGATTTTGCATGTCTGAGAAGAATGCGTGTGTATAATACTGGTGCGTTTGCAAGGAAAGATATGGCAGAATTATTTCCTAGATGCTACAAGATAGATATATGGTCTTGTGTTTAGTTTGACATAGCCCAATGTATATAAGTGAAGCTCGCTAGTGCTTTGTATAGCCGTTGGAGCAGTAACGGTCCGATTGGTTTATTTATTGGCACTAAATTTTATATCTGAGTTTATTAGGTTGCTCGCTAGATAAAAGTGTGGGTAAAATATTACGCTACTTAAGACCTTTATGACGGGCCAAGAGTAAGTGATTGTTGTAGCCTGTTTCTTTGTATAAATACGAATAGGTTATTTTATATATTAAATTTATATTTGACGATTAAATGGAAATTATTTATGGAGAATATTTATTAGTGATATATGTAGGTAATAACATTCATTCGAATTTATATTTCTAAATTAGCAACTTAGAATGGCAAACAAGCTGACGGCCCACCTGATGGAAAGTGGTAACCGTCGCTTATAGACATGAGCAGTACCATGGACATAACAGAGTATACTCTTTCGCCCATGATACCCCCCATACGTTGCCATTCCTGAGGACTCAGGTGTTATTCCTCTGTAGCCTGTAAATTCTAAATTAGGTATTTTAAAAAATTAATAGTTTAGTTTCTTAGCGGTTTTTCTCAACGGATATCGATACGAAAGAATTCCGTAATGAAATAAAAAAAATATTTATAATTCTGCTATTAATAATATTAAATAAGTATTATAAATATGAAAATCATATTAGGCACTTTTGTAATATATAAAAAAAAATATTACATTTGTAGTGTGTTTGGAAAAAATTCCATGCAACCGGGTTCCCATTGAACCCGCATCTTATGCACATTTGGGGTCAATTATGCTTTTAAACTTTCTTTTACGCTTTTTTTCAGTTCAATTACTGATTCATTATACAACAGACAATTTGTACTTATATAAATTGTGATCAATTTTTAATTATTGTTTAAATTAATTTATTGATAAAATTTAAATTAACAAAATTGATATAGGACTATCAGTGAAGTAACGTCTATAGCTTGCTTACCTAATTGACATATTATTTTTTTTCAGAAATGTAGAACACATACACACGGACGCACAAAACGAATTTGGAAAATTAATAGAAGCTTTTAAATTCAACAAAATTAATATTAGATGGCTCTTGAAAGAAAAACCTGTGTAACGTATTTATGATTACGTTCTATTTTGAAATCGGTTAAAAGCGTATGTAACAGATATATTAATTCCTATGTCCACGCGAACATTTCCGGATATGCCTATACACTATTGTAGGTTGAGGCTTGACGCCATTTTTCAATCTATACAACCTACGCGCCCGACCGACCAGCGTAATCTGAACCCCGTCTACTCACACTGACACTTAGTGGTCCCACTTTCCAATACGGAGGAGATACGCGAGAGGGACCAATGGAAACTGGTTGTTTTGTCTATGGGTATTTTTGTTATTTCTCTATGAATAAATGTAGGGAAGGGAAAGGCGTTCGCCTTAGCACAGTTTACATGATGCACGATGGTCTCTGGTATTTGCGAATATTGATTTCGGATGCGTTTAGTGAAATATAATTTTAATATATTATTCAAATTGAAATTGCATAAGTATTTTTATATTTATTTTATTTTAGATATTTTAAAATGTATTAATAATGAGTAGTTTATAGTTATTATTTAGTATTGTAATTGGTTAGTTGCTACATACAAACAAATGTAACGACTACTATATGTTTTAATTAGTCTGTTTTGGAATCTTGCAATGAGGAGTTGGGCGTTGATATTCGCGACACAGTTTTATACTTCTGCGGATGTCATCGTTTTTCAATAATATTGTAACCAATGTTTTTGTTCCAAATAAATTATTATTATTATAATTTAGTGCTTTTATTTGTAAGTTATTTTGGACTTTATAATTATTATTTATAACGTCTAACTATAATTCAAAAGTTACCTCTATCATAAATCAGATAAATTTAATACGTTAATTGTCTAGTACTTAAGGAGAGTTTCCGTTATTTCCTAAAAAAAAAAACAAATGACAACAACAATAAAGTATTTGTAAAGAATACAAAAAAAAAAAATCGACAGACTCACAAATAGAGGAGGTATCTAAATTAATTTTTGTATAAATATCTATACGTATATAATACGTGATATTATCACGAATTCTGAACACATTTTTAATATCGTTTGTGTATTCTTACCAGAGCGAGACTTTGTACAAAAATCGTTTGCTTGGGCACCTCTGTCCCATTCGTGTTTCCACTGTGAAGCAGTTGTGTTTGCATGGCTGTGTTTCGGTTTGAAGGATATGGCAGTGAATTTACAGGGTACAGAGGAATAATACCCGAGTCCTCAGGAAAGGCAACGCATGAGGGTATCATGGGCAAAACAGTATACTCTATTATGTCCACGGTACTGCTCATGTTTACAGGCGACGGTTACCACTTTCCATTAAGTGGGCCGTCATTTTGTTTGCCATTCTAAGTTGCATAAAAAAAATGTAAAAAAAAAATATTTATTTATTTATTTAAATTTAAATGCACATCGTAATTGTATGTACATTTGGTGGACTTAACACCGGATGCTGTTCTCTATCAGTCAACCATTGGACATACAGAAATATAGTGTAATATAGAAATACGGAAAAAATAATTCTTTACATGTTACTAGCTGTATCCCGCGTCTACGCCTGTTTGTAAATATATAACTAATACTATGTACTAAGATATAACCTACCCGTGAACCATATAAATTACTTCTACAATATGAATAGATACACACCAATACTTAAATAATGAATAATAATAATAATAATAAAATACGTAGCTATTGTGAAATAATTTTAATGATTGGATAATATTGTAACAAACTCTTAAACTATTTCTAAAGTGAAAGAAAAAAGGTTGTCCTTCTCTCTCCTACTTGCTGCGCCCAACAGGGTCCATAATTGAAGTTGAAATGTCTACTAATCACATTATGGAATGCAATAAGAAATAAATAAATATTTTTTTTTATACAACTTAGAATGGCAAACAAGCTGACGGTCCACCTGATGGAAAGTGGTAACCGTCGCCTATAAACACGAGCAGTACCATGGACATAACAGAGTATACTGTTTCGCCCGTGATACCCTCCATGCGTTGCCATTCCTGAGGACTCAGGTGTTATACCTCCGTACCCAGTAATTTCGGTAAACTCCGTTCAGTAATTATTGACTGAGAGTGTAACAAACATCTTTTCAACGATCGTTATAATTTTTTTAATTTTATTATATCAGGATTAGAATTGTCACAATATATTGGTTATAAAAACGTTTCAGAATCCAAAAGGCGTGTTATTCTAAATGTTCTTAGGTGGTGAAAATCAGGTCTAGCGTGTTCAATGCGCTAGGCAGTCTGGCCGCGGCCTACGCATTGATTTACATACAAAAGTACTTCCCTGCAACTAATACAAGCACCTTTTGACTAACGCGTAGGCATAAAGCATTTCTTGTAACCATTTTAGATGTAGAAATATTATTAAAATATTAATATTCTATTGAGATAATTGTTTATGGTTTAAAAAGTTTAAACTTATACCATCTACATAGCCGAGGTCAGTGGTTCACTAGATTGCAATTCGTTCTAGAATCGAAGTAATTTTGATTTCGTTAAATTAAGATAAAAAAAAATAATATGGGAAAGAAAAAAATATTAAATAAGAATAAACTCTATCTATTGCAAAAAGAATCGTCGGATTCGAATAAGACTTGGCGTAG